CCGGCGTTCCCAGAAGGCTTTGCGCCTCACCGCGGGCGGAGGGGGACCCGCCCATGCACCATGTGGTCGCTGCCCTGCCCCATCCTCCCAGGGCTCGCGGGTCCCCCTGTGGGCAGAGACCCCGCCCCTCATCCACCCAGCTGCTGTGGGCGGGGCTGTCCCTGTGTTTGCCCCCCTCCCTTAGATCTCCACGGTGGGAACCAAGGGGGACTTCCTCCTCGTCAGCGACCACCTCATCGAACTCGTTACCAAGCTCCACCAGACGATGCTGGAGAGCACCGCCAAGGCGCTCGACCTGAAAGTGGCTGACGAGTAAGGGCGGGGATTGGCTGGAGCGGTGGGTGGGCGGAGCCTGTGCTGGGCGGAGGGGGGAAGAGGAGACTTCTGATTGGGCCGATAGGCATGCGTGTCACCTGCCCTAGGAGCGTGGTGGTCTCTGTCGCCCCCTGGTGGCTGGCGTGGAAGGGGATAAGAGGCTACTACTGCTGCCGGCTGAGGGACCCAATCTTCTAGCTCCGGTGGGTTGGAGGCTTCTAGCGCTAAGGGACATGTGTTCGAATCCCGTGGTTGGCCCAAGCAGGGTCCCATCCATACTGCTGGCAATCCTAGGCGGGCAGGGCTCTGAGCCTCAGCCCAGTGGCACGTGCAGCTCTGGCTTTTCCCCAGCAGGGGGCGGTAGGCTGTGCATCCCACCTGCCTAGGGAGGAGACAGGGGGAACCACGCCAGGGACAGGCCTGTTGCTGAGCGGGTGGGGGGAGCCAGTGCTGGGCGGAGGGGGGAAGAGGAGACTTCTGATTGGGCCGATAGGCATGCGTGTCACCTGCCCTAGGAGCGTGGTGGTCTCTGTCGCCCCCTGGTGGCTGGCGTGGAAGGGGATAAGAGGCTACTACTGCTGCCGGCTGAGGGACCCAATCTTCTAGCTCCGGTGGGTTGGAGGCTTCTAGCGGGGTGGGGGGAGCCAGTGCTGGGCGGAGGGGGGAAGAGGAGACTTCTGATTGGGCCGATAGGCATGCGTGTCACCTGCCCTAGGAGCGTGGTGGTCTCTGTCGCCCCCTGGTGGCTGGCGTGGAAGGGGATAAGAGGCTACTACTGCTGCCGGCTGAGGGACCCAATCTTCTAGCTCCGGTGGGTTGGAGGCTTCTAGCGCTAAGGGACATGTGTTCGAATCCCGTGGTTGGCCCAAGCAGGGTCCCATCCATACTGCTGGCAATCCTAGGCGGGCAGGGCTCTGAGCCTCAGCCCAGTGGCACGTGCAGCTCTGGCTTTTCCCCAGCAGGGGGCGGTAGGCTGTGCATCCCACCTGCCTAGGGAGGAGACAGGGGGAAC